CATGTGGTGCTGGGGGATTGAACCGCGGTCCCTGTGCTTTGCTAAGCTTGTTCTAAGTAGGTGCTTTAGACCACTGAGCCATCTCACCAGCCCCTGGTGCGCCAGTCTTAAAGAGAATGTTTCTAAATCTTTCTATAAAGAATAATGTTTGTGCCAGGTACAGTGGCACACACCTGGAGTTCCAGCTACCCTGGGGGCTGAGGCAGAGATATTACAAGTTCAGGGACAGCTTGGGCAGCTTGGTGAGGCCCTTTGTAAGACATTAAAGAAAATGTGAATGTAACTTAGTGGTAATGCTGCAAATAATGATAATACAATGCAATAATAATAATTGTAAATTTTGGATATATACCCTTTATCAATCTTAGGAAATTCCTTTCTTTTTCTGATTTGTTGAGAATTTTTTTTAAAAGTAAGAAAATGCTAAGACAACAAAGGTAGATGGGCAGCCACCTCAAACACACACAGTGAGAGAACATCCTGCACAGACAGGGCCAGCGCTGGTGCTAGAAGCCCTGTGGGAAGCAGAGATCCTGGCCCAGTGTGAGCTCCGGGCAGCTGAGGAACCCTGGGAGCTGGGGGAGCTGCCACCACCATGCCTTGTCTTTCTTTTCCCTTGTAGTGCCCAAGACAAAGATTTTGGCCACTGGAGGAGCATCTTGCAACAAAGACATCTTACAGGTGTGTGGGGGCAAGCCACTGCCTCTGTGTGCCTGTTACGTGCTGCAGGAAGACCCTCTATTACACTCCTCAGGGCAGTGTGGAGCTCCCCCTGAGAGCAGGTTCCATTGCCTGTGCAGCCAGGTTCTGCACGCCTGTGGCTCTGCAGTCACTTGGAAAGTGCCTGTCTCTATGGTGAACCGTCTGACATCTGATGTTGTGCCCTTGTCCCCCGAGCTTCTCCCTTCCTGTTTAACTTTGTCTTTTCCAGCCACTCCTCTTGTAACAGTGTCAGACTGGCTGTGCCCTTCTGTTTCTTTATTACGCTGGAAATATTTACCAAAAGAGGAGTCAACCCCAGATGTCTGGTGCACAAGCTCTCACATCATGGGGCCATCTGGTCCTCTGAGGAGGATACTATATTTTTAGGTGCAGCCTGTGGCTGTCTTAGCTGTTTTGAGTAAGTACATCAAATGCTGAGTTGTAACCAGGCGTAGTTGGTGTATGTCTATAATCACAGCTCTTGGGAGGCTGAGGCAGGAGGATTGCCTCAAGTTTGAGGCCAGGAAGGATTACATAGTGAGTTCAAGACCAGTCTGAATTACAGGGTGAGACCCATATTTCAAAAACAAACAACCAAAAATTGCTGAGGTGTGATATGCTTGTCTTAGGCAAGATTCTCTAGCAGCGGAACCTGATGTGGGAATTCTTCTAGAGATGGTTTGTTGAGAGAGTTCTCCCAGGAAAAAGGGAGTGAGGGACTTGGTACAAGGCAGGAGATGAGAGATGAGCCAAGATCTGATCTTGGCTGGAGCTCGCTTCAGCTCCACACCTGGGTTGCTCAGGGGGCTCAGTGGCTCCCACAGGTGGCCTCTGTTAAGCCAGGTCCTGTGAGGAAGAAGTGCTGTGAGCTGTTGGCCTCCACACACACAGTGGCTGGTGAGCAGCAAACTGGTCCAGCGGAGGGCCAGGATCACTGACATCTGCTGCAGCATCTCCAGCCAACTAGTGCCCCTCCCCAGCCTTATCCATGTGAACTCTTCATACACATCCTCCTTTTACACAAATGCACTTTATTTTTTTCTTAAATGGAAGGCTTCATCATAATCCCCATAAACATGCCCTTGTTAGCATGGACTTGTTAATATTAAGCTAATACCCTCTTGTCCCCAGCTGCAGGTTATAGAGGGCATAGAGCTGGGGTCTTTACTGGGAACTTCCTCCGGGTCATCCTGCCATGGCCAAGTATACTTTTTTTTGGTGCTGGGGTCAAACCTACACTGTTATGCAAAGTAGGTAAGCATTCTACCAAATAGCTACACCCCAAATACACATCTCACCCCAAATATGTATCTTGAGGCATCAGAGGTTGGATAGAGGGATGGTAAGACGTGAAGAAGAGAAGCCAGAGAAGGACCTCTCAAAATGCCCATGCTCCCTGTGGAGTGACTACTGCAGTAAAACCCTTGTGCTTTCCCAGGTGCTTGCAGATGTGTTTGGTGCCCCTGTATATGTCATGGACACTTCCAGCTCTGCCTGTGTGGGCTCTGCATACCGAGCTTTTCATGGTAGGTTGGAGCCTGGGACACCTCAGGCTCTAGAAGTGGCTGGGACATTAGCTGCACTGAAGCAGGTGGAAAGGGAAGAGAAGGGTGTTTGTAGTCTTTGGTATATTGGAATCTTGGGCCTTTAGCTTCCTGCTAGCAGGTAAGAGCCATGCATATCCTCTACTTCTTTATTCTCTACTTAAAGTGGAAGAAGGGAGACAGAATGGACTGAACGAGGCCTGGTCGTCACACTTGGCAGAGGGATCATAGGAAAAGCATACTGGAGGGCAAGTGAGCATGGGTCGGGCTTGTTGGGGAGCAGAAGAGGCAGATGAAGTCCAGAATTGCATTCTCAGCAAGAACTGGAAGTTGAGCCAATGACTGAGGCTTCAGACCCATGCAGTCCAGGACCCTGGACAGCTCCCCGAAGGCCCCAGGCTGCAGTGGCCCAGCGGAAACTCTGCACGCTACACAAGTTCCCATCCGGAGGCAGTGGCCGGGGAACAGCCAAGGCCAGGCATCCTCAGTTTGGGCCACTTGCCCAGTCCTCTGCTGCTCCAGTGCCTGGCGACCATGTGCTTCGGGGCTTTGTCTTTCCCACTAATGGTTCCATTCTTTGCATATTTACTCTTAACTTTCTAGCATGCTACTTAAATATATTTTTCTTTGCATGCTGTGCATTCATCAGAAAACACAAACTTCTTTTAATAATTAGCCTCTTTTTTCTCCTCCCACTCACTCCATATACCCTGACCACACTTCATGCCATTCCTGCATCAAGGCCAGATTGTTATTTCTTAACAACATTTATTAGCATATTTGCTTTATTTTTTCAACTCCCTGCTGTTCATTTGCTCTCTCTCATTCTCTCTCATTCTCTGTCTCTCTCTCTCCGTCTGTCTCTGTCTGTCTGTCTGTCTCTCTGTCTGTCCGTCTGTCTGTCTGTCTCTGTCTCTCTCTCT